CGGCAGCCCCTACGCTCGAGTCTGAGGTCGCCCAGCCCCTACGGCGGTGCGGAAAGCCAACAGAGCCTCCGCCAGCAGCACAATGCCAGCCGGCGGGCTACAGGTCACAAAACAACGCCAGGTCAGTTGAACCCAGATAACTCGGATCGACGCAACATGTACTAACATGAAACAGCCCGTGGCAACGCGGTGCCGGCTACGAGCACTAAGCTCATCTATCGTGTTTCATTATCATTTTCGAGTAGAGCATTTGTCCGAGAATCATCTCGGCTCTGAGTGCCTCGGCTACTAGCCCGGAGGTATTCACTCACGACCCCCACTGGCATGGACTCGCCTCACACGATGTCGAGGACGAGCTCTCCCCCTCCATTTTCCTATATTTTAGTTTCAACGAATCTCTTGCCTCCGAGCATGAAGAAGGCGTCTTGAGAACTAGGCGTTATTGATTGCCGAGCCGGCTGTCAGAGGAGAGTCGGCCAAGCTGTACGAGTCTGCTTTGTATATAGGCTGGGTCATTGGGAGGGGACATCGAGACAGGGTCTCGCAGCTGGACTGGCCAGCTCAACGGGGGCAAAGCAGAGGACGATGAACAAAACGGGCGCTGTTGCATACATGCCGCGGCCAAAGTGTTCGAGCCGTGGGCTGCCATTGGGGTATCGATATAGATTGGCGGCCCTGGGGACTCGTACGATAGTCAATCGACTCTCTTTGTTGCTGTTACTTCTGCCGACTTGTTACGACATCTCATTGCTGGCGTTGCTGGCGTCACGCTGCAGGTTTGAGATTGCCGCAGCAGCATCCGAAGGGCGCAGACGGCGTGATTGTGTGACGTGGTCAGGGGCTCCTGTCGCCTTGACTTGAGTAATGAGAGGTGGGCAGTGCTGAGCTTGACGATGGACCCGAATCCTTGCGACGACGACACAACCAGCAGGTGACGGTGCGGTTGAGGGGAACTACAGCGTTGCCTGGACTTGAACTTGGCGGCGACGAAAAACCTTGATGGCAATTCATGTGGTAAAATTTAAGTTATCACCGAGTCACCTCGGCCCCTGGCCTGGTCGTCGATGACAGATTACCGACTTTACAGATGCCGGTGCTCCTTTCGGCGATAAGCGGACTGGCAAGGGGGAGGGGTGCGGTGCGTTGGAGGGAGCGAGGCGAGGCGAGACGAGGCGAAGCGAACACTACCCGACCTTCCCTTTACCTGG